ACTTAAAATTATTCCCAGTTTCTCAGGATTTTTGTTAGCCCCTTTGAAGTATTGGCGTATGGTTAACCTACAATAATTACGGTCAGACCCTTAGAATTATTATTAACCCCTTAAGGAAAATTTTGTCATCAACTTTGGAGTATTATCAGCCCCAAGGATTATAATCCAGCCTCTAAAGGATACTTTTAGTACCGTAGCATTATCATCAGCCCCTTACGATTATTCCCAGTTCCTTATGATTTTTATTAGGCCCTTTGGAGTATGGTAAGCCCATAAGGATAATAGTCAGCTCTTAAAGATTATTATCAGTCTCTAAAGATAAGAAATATTATCATTTTTGTTTTGTCAATTAAAAAAGGGTATCTAGTTTGTATACATTTTAATTCACAAGATATCTTGGAGATTGTTCTCATTCTCGTTTACTGTGTATTGTTGTAAACAGTTTCAGTCTTTTTCTACAACAGACTCATCTTTGACATATGAATCTGAAAAGGGGAAAGCTGAGTACGAAGTTGAAAACCATTGATGATAAAAAAAATCCGTAACGAAGTGATTTTACGAGGAATACATTTTCGTGATTAAAAAATTAACGCAAATATAAATGTCGCAAAACTTGTCGAAATTGAATTTTTATCTATATGATGACTGCATAAACAAAGATAGAAAACCGTAAAAATCAACCGATTTACAGTAGGCTAGAACGGCCTGAATGAGCATTTTTTTTTAGCTAATTACGCAAAAATAAGTTGGTTTACAGTACCATAACCCCTACATTATCATGAACTCTACCTGATAATTGATTTGCTATGAAATATATCAGCTAATAATTTATTCATAACACGTGACTACAAATCTTGATACTATGATATATGTGATTTTAAACAACAAAAATTTCGATTGTATAATACAGAAAAGAACATTAGGAAATAGTAATATTATTAAATCAATATGTTGTCGTATTATTCTACATAACAACGGACATCGTGACTCCAATTTTAGTTTTCATATTAGATAAAGAGATTCTTATTAAATTAGGGAATTCAATTATTTTCTTTCATTATTGGTACGTGATCTTCAATGACGCTAGAACTTTATTTTCAAAGTCATGTTATTAGAAAGATATAAACGCATTTTATGACATAATTCCAATACAAGATTTTCTAGAAGAGATGGACAACTGTTGCTCACCTGCCTTGATTCGTTTGATTCGCCATGCCTCTCGTATTCAAGTAATCATTGGATTTCATTATTATTCGTATTCAAGTAATCATTGGATTTCATTATTATTCGTATTCAAGTAATCATTGGATTTCATTTTTTTTTTCGGTGTGAGATTTCCTACTGTGCTAAATCAAGGAATGCTTTCCGGACGCACACATTTTTAAATTGTTATTTCAGGTTAAAATAGTAAGTCAGTTCAACTGGGTTTGGACTGCTAGTCCCTAATGCATCAGCAGCTCAGTAGTCATTGCCGCTTTTGTACTGACATATTTACACCATGTGAAACATACCTAAGGCTTTCTTTCATTTGCCGGATATCAATAAAAAATATTAAGAAATTAAGGTTTCAATTTCCTAAGGCAAGGTTGACCATTAAGAGATTTGACTTTTCTTTTTATGTCCCAGTTTTTCACCCTCCTCACGTATACATGTAAGCTATAATCCTTTTCTCTAAATATTTTGTGCCTGTGAGAGAGTTCGCCCAATGATGGTAATCCCGTAAAGCGCTTCGGTCTCACCACTTTATTTAGTGTTGGTTTCACTTTGTAGTTTTGTCTTCTACATTCCGCATATTCATTTTTTGTTCAACGAACTGAATAAGTGATTTATACGATGTTCTTTCAAATAATTTTATAAAATATTGTGTAGTATTGTGAAATAAATCTGCAGATGGAATCTGGGAGGGTCTGGATGGGGGGGGGGGGGGGGGGTCCTTCATTTCTGTATTAATTTTTTAGGCCATTTTTCTCAATTTTTTATACTTTCTGCCAATGTTAATATTTTATATTTTAGCATCTCATTATTGACTATTCTTTATTTTTTGGATCCATCTAACTGTATTCTTTATATTTTTCGGATCCATCTAACTCTTGTTTTTTATATATTTTTGCCCATTATTCTCTATTTTGTAACACCCGTCAAAACCCTCATCTGAGATGACTATTGATATTTACTTCGTTTATTGTTAGTGTGATTTATTATTATACTCGGACGTTTATTGAATGCTAGTCAAATGTACTTAACTTCCTAATCATTTACTAATATGTGACGCATGTGTTCCTTTATTCTTATATAGTACAGCGTGCTTGCAAGTAGCTTTATCAAGCAACGTAATACGCAGTAAAAAAACACATCTCAAGCATTGCACAAATTAGTTTTATTTAGAAATGCATATGAATAGATTTGAGCATACAAAAAATACAAGAAACTGTTATTAAAGAGAGGCGAAAGATACCAAAGGGACATTCAAACTTGTAAGTCGAAAATAAACTGAGTCTTAGATACATGATTTTTGTTATTAGTTGTTATTGGCTTTGAACTAGCTGTCAGTAACTGCGAGTACTCTCAGATCTGTACTTAGTGTCTCTTTGTTGTGGGGATGTATATGTACCCGTCCACGTCCCCTCAGTGTTTTGATAGATGTATTTCTATTTGTATCCATCTGATGAGTTAAGCCTTTTTCAACTGATTTTTATAGGTTGTTCTTATGTTGTACTGTTACACCACTGGCCCAGGTTAGAGGGAGGGTTGAGCGCTCACAAACATATTTAACCCCGCCACATTCTTTATGTGCCTGTCCCAAGTCAGGAGCCTGTAACACAGCATAGAAAACTAACGACTGAGCAACACGAATCCCACCAATAACTGGGGTGATATCAGGTGCTCCAGAAGGGTAGGCAGATCCTGCTCCACATGTGGCACCCGTCATGTTACTCATTGTTTAAGAATGAAAGTATATAAGTAATCCCTATAATTGTGATACAAATTAATAAAAGTTTCGACAAATTTATGACTTCTATGTTCTTGTGGTGTAAGACTTTGTAGTAATGAAATATATCTTCCAGGTTCCGCATATGCCATTGTGTATTATACAATCAAAATAATTTTATTGAGATTTGGCTTGACTGTATTTAACACAAAATACACGGACCATTTCAATACTAGCATCAGGATGTCATACACGTCATATATAATATGTGATAAATTTAAATATATCGACATATAATATTATTTAATTATTCTTCGGATACTAGAAATAAACTGTACGTAACCTGAGAAGGTGATGGATGGATCATATGTACATATGTCACTTATCATGGCAGACTATAATTAATTATATATAAATATGCTATATGCCCTGATTTACAGAGAGAGAAAAAGAAGAAGAGTAATTCGTCGTAGAGAGCACAATCGGGCGTGCCGATAGGTAAAAGAAAACTTTCCGACGTTTACTTTTCGTGTTTGCCACACCTATTGTTCATGTTGATAGCTAAACGTGTTTTAAACATACTGAATTTTCTTTCATTATATTTTCTCTACAACGTCAAATATTATAATCTTATATATAAACAACGTGTTCTGTAGCTGTAATATAAATATTTATGATATTTATATAAATTCATTCTAAATATATGTCATGATTTAGATGACACACAACACGTGTTGACCTTTTAAAAGAAGGTCAATTTCTCAATTATGCTCTGTTCTTTCTAATAATGAACATAAAACATGTTCATATAACCCAACGGTCTATTTGTATACTTTAGTATAAACAATATTTTATTTAGAAAACAAATAAATAAAAACGTATAGCAATACAAGAGGGGCCTGATGGGGGGGTCTCATCACGATTCACGAGTTGATTTTTTTGTCAATCACGATTCACAGAAAATAAATTTCCATGATCACGGATCACGAAAATATAAAAAAAATTAAATCTGTAGAAAAACGGATCACGATAGCGAAAATGCGCCGATCACGAAGAACGAAAATAACCCATCAGGCCCCTCATACAATGCAAGGATTGGAAAACAAAACAAGTGACAAGTCACTTATTTATACAAATTCCTCTCCTATCTTTGTATACTTCATAAAGCTACAATTGCTTTTTAAAAAGGAAAATGAATTAAATACAGCATTCGTATGTTAGAGTGGTTAGAAAATGAGCAACTCTCAGATCTGTACTTTTCTGTTGTTATGGATGTATAATTACCCTGCCACGTCCGGTCTGTGTTATTGTTAGATGTTTTTCTGCTTTGTCTTGATCTGATGATGATCTATTGAAGATGTAAGCCCTTTTCAACTGATTTTTATAGTTCTTTTGTTGTGCTGTAACACGACTGTCCCAGGTTAGGGGAGGGTGGAGCGCTCATTAACATGTTGGACCCCGCCATATTTTTTATGTGCCTGTCAAAAATCAAGAGCCTGTAGTTCATTGGTTGCCGTTGGTTAATGTCGGTCATATTTTTTTTTCGCAAATTGTTTTGTTATAAATTAGACCGTTAGTTTTCTCAATTGAATTATTTCATAATTTTCATGTCGGTTCTTTTATAGCCAACTATACGATATTGTTTTTTCTCATTGTTGAAGGCCGTACAGTTGCCTATAATTACTTTACATCCACTTCATTTGAACTTTGGGGGATTGTTGTCTCGTTGGCAATCATACCATATCTCCTTTTTTTACTTGAGGAATAACGTATATTTGTTTTCATCTTGTTACTTGTTTGAATGCTTTTAATTGATATATGCTTGGACATTAGACCTTACGCCTTAAATAACCGAAACACTATGCTTGAACATCCAACTATAGCCGTGTCAAATGTTCTTAGCAGAAGGTGTCAAGTATGTACAGATATATGTGGCAAGACTTTCGTATACTTATTTCTGTTTGAGTTTGTTTCATCTTTTAAAGGGATTTTAAATTAAGTCAAAATAAAAAATAATATTTTTGTATTTCTATATTAATATATTATAAATATTATATTATTGCTTTTACAGATATCATAGAATCTGCAATATGACAACAGTGTCTACAAACTTAACGCTCACACCACTTTTATCAAACGAGACTTTACGAGAACAACCATTGCCAACAGAAGTTGTCGTATTATTGAGTTTCGTATGGAGTTTAATTATAGTGATAGGAGCCATAGGCAATGGCCTTGTGATTTATATAATGTTACGTTATGGCGAACGTTCTGTAACAAATGTATATATAGTTAACCTAGCTTTTGCTGATTTAATGTTTATTTTATTTGTTGTTCCCGCTACATTGATACATATAGTGATTCCTACTTGGATTTTGGGAAATATCATCTGCAAGTTTTCTAACTATATGATATATGTAAGTATTCCTATGTTTATTTATTTGTTGTGCCGGGTACATTGATACATATTGTGATCACTACTTTGATTTTGAGAAATATCGTCTGCAAGTTCTTTATTAATCATATGTTATATGTAATTATCGGCAATTTGTGCATTTCCCTTTGATCTTACTGCCTAATATTTGGAAGATCATGGACAGGACTTGATACTTGAAAATATTAGGCAGTGACGTCATGTATCAGTGTAGTTCATGTCCGTCCGCTTCAATTTTTCAATGAAATGCACGCGACTTCATTCATACAACCTAACAACTATCCCAACGTTTTGTACGCGTAAAAGTACTTTTACTTATTATTTCATTTTACTTCATATTCTGAACAAAAAAAAATACAGTAAAGACAAATTGTCGATAAAAAGAATAATGGCATTTTATTTTTTGATACTGACTTCATCAGCTCGAATATCAGCTCGCCCTAGCGGGCTCGCTTGATATTCTTGCTGATAAAGTCAGAATCAAAAACAAAAATGCCATTATTCTATATGTATTCCTAACATTGTCACATATTGTGATCCTTACTTGGATTTTATCGATTATGTGTAGTGCTATTTTCCCCATTGGACCAAATTCTATGCTGGAGGTTTGTGCGTCACCATTGGAATCGAAACTATAACCCTCCAGCCAAGGGTTTAATAACTTTTGTCAAGAAATATATTGTTGTTTGTCCTTCCAAATTTACAGTATTGCCACATTTAGTCCTTCTTTTATGGTGACACATGTGACAATATGCATGTTCATCTTATCACACATTCAGGGTAAATTAGTAGTTCACGAAAGTAGACACATGATTGGTCATGAAATAATAAAAAAAGATCTGTTTACAATTACACTTATACATGTACTTGTTTAAGTTTTAAAGTCTGAAATTAAAAAGATGGATTTGGCTTATTTTTATGTCCTTTTTTGTCATATAGCACTTCAACTATTTCGGTTCTTATACATCATTGGCTTCAAACATTCGGCTTTGTGCGTTCCGGATGAAGGTTAATCCGGAAAGGCGCTTCGGACGCATGAAATTTATAACGTAAATGAAAATGAGAATGGAAACGGGGAATGTGTCAAAGAGACAACAACCCGACCAAAGAGCAGAAAACAGCCCAAGGTCACTAATGGGTCTTCAACTCTGTTGTTTTTTTCATTCTTTTCAAACATATGCAACAGACAAAGGTAAATAAAAAAAACCAATTAACTTTTGAGCAATAGAAACCCTACTTAATAGTTTATTTCATTCATTCAAGCCCTATCCAACTGACTTTTACAGTTACGTGTGATGGTGTGCTGGTACATTGTACAGCTGTCCCGTATTGAGAGATCAGTTGATCGCTTACCTGCGTGTTTTACCTCGTATAATTCTCATGTCACAAGTCAGGAATTTATAATCGGGTGGTTTACCTGTAGTTGTTTATGTTCCGGACCTTAAGACTATACGTGTATATGTAACAGCCACTATGTTCCGTCAGGTACTTTGTTCCGGCGGAACTTTTCAACTAGTTATTTCGTTCCGATGGAACTTTCCAACTAGTTGTTTTATTCCGAGTGCAGTCGAAAAGTTCCGGAAAAAGGAACTTATCAACTAGCCACAAAGTTCCTCTTTGGCAAATAAGTCAAAACCGGAACTAACAAACTAGCCCAAAAGTTCCAACGGAACTTATCAACCAGTCACAAAGTTCCATTTGGAGAATTGATGCAAAGAACCACATGAGGAAGGGGTATTCTTCCCTTTCTTGAGGGTACTATGAATACTTAATTTGCATGATAATGCAACTTATTCCGTTTTATGTGAGCTATGAAATACAACTTAAATTTTGCATATTTGTCCCCAAAGAAACCCCTTTCAGTGCGTTGGGTATTCTTGTAAATTAATGATTTGCTCTTATATATACTGATACTCATTCTTCCCCCTCTTTCTACAAAAAGGACGAAATATGGTATATTCAGTATCTTGGTTTCCCTTTGAAAGGTTCAAATATAATATGTTGCGCTTTTACTTTGCATCAATTCTCCAAATGGAACTTTCTGCCTGGTTGATAAGTTCCGTTGGAACTTTTGGGCTAGTTAGTTAATTCCGGTTTTGACTAATTTGGCAAAAAGGAACTTTCTAACTAGTTGATATGTTCCGTTGGAACTTTTCAACTAGTCACTTTGTTCCGGTGGAACTTTTAAACCAGAGGAAGAACAAAGTAACCAGTTAATAAGTTCCTCCGGAACTTTTCGGCTAGTTAGTTCTTTCCGCCCGGAACTTTCCAACGTCGGAACAAAAGAGCATTTACATATATACTTATATAGTCCGACCAAACGCGTATGGTCTTGATAATTGACATGATGAACGTTGAAAAGGTGTCCCATAGATTAAGAGTTTCAATACTATTCTTTGACTTATTCAATCAAAAAGGTAATTATTGTTACATGATTAATGGAAATAAGTGAATTTTACTTACAAGTAAGAATTATAGTAAAATCATTTTTACATGGTCATTATAGAAAATAACTTCAACAAATATCTAGTAAATGAACTGATAAATAAGAAGTAAATTGCTCAACTCACAGGAACTTTGGTCATTGAACTCTCTTTCTTTTCTTTATCTAAATTTATTTTGGTGTTTACAATAGTCTTGTTTTTATTAAGTAAATAAAATGTCTTCAATAATTCAAAACGTCTTTAGTTATGTAATGTGTTCTTGCTCCTATTCATGCGATCTTACAATTATAGTAAGATCAAATGAATTGCAGCAGGAGCACATCAAAGAAATGAAAATAAGAAGAAGTTAGATGACATTTTGTTTCTGAAAAAAATGATTTTTAAAACACTAAGAAAAAAGGTAAAAAATTCCCCTCCTTAAACATCTTAGTTTTTCTTGCGGACGAAAAGGTAGACAGGATTGAGGCGCTGTAAATTGACGCTAGCGAAGACAAGATAAACCAAGATTGAGACAATATGTAATAGACAACAGAATCAAGTTAGTCACTTGTGCCGTTTGCGTTCTAGCTAAGTAAGTTAGAGTTCATTAGAAAAATACCTATATGGTCTAAATACTCATATGGTCCTAACCGTTAATAACCAAACGATTATAATACTCGTATGGTCCGAACCGTTAATAACCAAACGAGTATAATACTCGTATGGTCCGAACCGGTAATAACCAAACGAGTATAATACTCGTATGGTCCGACCATACGCGTTTGGTCCAAATACTCGTATGGTCCGAAACGTTTACCTCCTCTTCCTTTGGTGTCTGGTGGATACTTGTATCATCGACAATTATACCACATCTCCTTATTGTTACAGCAGATTAAACTAGAAATAATCAGATCCTGTCTTCCAAGTGACATTTAATCTTAATAAAAACAGAAGGTATTGTCACTGGCAAATCGCATGATCTGTAAATGTTTGTGTTACACTTTCTGATTTGTTTAACTGATAAAGGAAATGTGTTTCTTGATTTCTATCTCAAGTACATATAACATCTGCATAATATGAATTTTTTTTATCATAATTCATAACTCAATGTATATACACAAAACATGATCAGCGCCATCAGGATCTTACAATCTATACCACTCTCTTTTTTGCATTATTTGTAATTTCTCACCAACTGTTATTATTCATATTGTAATCACCTCTTTCAGCGTGAAACCTAGATTATCAAAATATATAAATGAATAAATAAATGTGAAATTTGATTATTAACATATAGATAAAAATCTCAATTGTAAATTGTAATGTCAAATAAACAAGAGCCTGCTGTCGCCACATTATACCATATGATGTTGTCGCCACATTATATCGTATGATGCCTTCGCCACATTATATCATATGATGCTGTCGCCACATTATATCATATGATGCTGTCGCCACATTATATCATATGATGCTGTCGCCACATTATATCGTATGATGCTGTCGCCACATTATATCGTATGATGCTGTTGCCACATTATACCGTATGATGCTGTTGCCACATTATATCATATGATGCTGTCGCCACATTATATCATATGATGCTGTCGCCACATTATATTGTATGATGCTGTCGCCACATTATATCGTATGATGCTGTCGCCACATTATACCGTATGATGCTGTTGCCACATTATATCGCATGATTTTGTTGTTGGGTTTTAATTCTAAATATCAAATTTATCCAATTACTGATCTTGACTTCATTTGGTTTGACACTTGATAGTAAGTTGACATTTTACTTAATCCAAATAGTTCAATCCTCTATTATTCATAAAGATTAACAAACTTACAAGTAATGTACAAGATCTAAGTCATGGAAATAAATCTCTCTAAAAAATATGTAACACTGCTTTTCAAAATTCAGTTTTGCCATTCTTCTGACTTTTTTATAGCCTAAATAATTGAAGTTGCTCTAATTTTTAGCCTAGCTGTAGTTGGAAAAACCTTTCGGAATATTCGCTCCCCAGTGCTTTTCTACATTGTTCTGTTTCGTAACTTGTATTTGGCCTTTTTAACATTTTTGACTCGAGCGTCATCGATGAGTCTTTTGTAGACGAACCGCGCGTCTGTCGTACACAATTGTAATTCTGATATCTATGATGAGTTTATCTTTAAGTTAACACATTTTTTGTATTCTAACTTAATTTTTTCCCTAAATAATTCTATGGTATTTTGGTATTTAGATAACATATGATTTTGCTGTGTTGTTGTCCTTCTATGTATAATATGTGATAAATAAAGAAAGTTTCAGGCCCCAAAAATGTATATACTTGTTTTGTGTCATCTGGCCTTAAAAAGGGTTGTACAAAAAAGGGTAGTATATGTATAATGTTAGTAAGTATAATTATTTATTTTATAAAATCATACATAGGTTACATGTATATAGGGAAATCTTCTGGACTTTAACATTGCTCAACCAAAAATGTCAATAAAATTGTTAGGGTAGGCATTAGATTAAGAGTAGCTAAGGAGGCAAAAAACATAAAAAAAATTAATG